TTTTTCTGAAAAATGAAATTGTCATATATGAACCAGTAAAGAAAGGGGAGTTTTCCCAATTAGAAGAGTTTTCCCTAACAAATATACGTTAATGTAGTTATGTGTAGTAATTTGTAGAAACTATATACTTATTGAATGCTTAATACGGTAGCTCGGTTTAAATTTGAAATCAGATAAAAAAATGCAACAAAGTCAAACGCCATAATTTCTACATTTTTTTTTAAATTTTATTGAATGAATGCAAAAATTTCGGAAATAGCATCAAATTTTAGAATAAGTTTAGAATTGATCAACTTTTGCACGAATCATGGCCTTCAAACGGCCAATGAAACCGTTACACGCTGCCCGATGTTGCTCTGCGGAATGTCCAAGGTCTGCGGCCAAAATGTTTGCGTGCTCAGGGCTTTAATACTCCCTCCAGAATTTTTTCGCGATAATATTCGGCATTTACTCTGATGCCACGGTCGATTAATACGAGCGGAGAGCGACCATCACCATGGCCGGCACTTGAGTTCTGGTGGCCAATCGAAGGTGCACATTTTCAGCTGACTTCTTTGGCAAGTAAACACGATCATTTTGTTTGTCTACAAACTGCTGAACAACGAATGTTTTCTCATCGGAGTAAACCAAATTCGGCATTCGGCAGTTCGCCACTTTCGGCCAAGAGAAGCAACTCTTTAGAGTCAATTTTCTTTCTGTTGCGGTGTAAGTTCTTGCACTTTTTGGAATATCAATGGCTTTACCCCGAGCTCATTTTTTAATATTTGCTGAAAGGAATATTGCAATATGTTCAGCTCACGAGCCATTTTTCGGCCACTGCGACGCGGGTTTCGATCAAGTCGCTTCTTTACTTTTCGAACCATTTCTGCTGATGTTGCTGTTTTCTTCCGTCCACTTCCTTGACATCGGGCTACGCTACCATCAAATCAGAAGAATTGATAGAACTAAAAACTTGAAATTTGGGTTGAGAATCAAGGTTGAAAAGTAAGTTTATTCTATAAAGGTGGTTTTGGAAAAACATTTTACTGAATGGTATTATTATTTTAGAACTTTTCGTAAACTTTAAGTTCGAATTTCCGAAAACCCTTTGCTACATCTATCCTGTACTCCATCAGTGACTTTTATTTCAAATTTCGGAATTCTGCCTCATCCCGTTTGTCCAATACAAAGTATTCAATTTTTTAGTACGTTTTAGTACACTACGTTCACTTTTAGTACAGATTTCCAAAAACCCAGACTAATCACCGCCTATTCACCAAGACTGACCTTGACACGATGTGAAGATTTTAGCTATGTATAGATAATTGTTATACAAATTCAGAAATGGATTGAAATACTATAGATCAAAGATGTCTGTCAATTGTGTCTAGCGACATAATTGGTTTATTCAGCACATTTTGGCACCAGTAACTACTTACAAAGCAACATGCACAAAAATGTGCATTCGATGAATTTAATTGCTGTGTCCCAGAACCTGTAAAAATATGTGTATGGTAACATGATATCGAACATCAATTGGAAACTGGTATATTCTTGCTGGTTCTAATACCGAGGAAATGATTAAAAACAGACATGACGCCTGCTTTGACTATATACTGTAAAATACTTTGTAAAAAAAGGTTTCTTATTTTTTTACATCTATCTTTTATGTATCACCTTCTTTATACCCTACACCACAAGGTGGTCAGGGTATTATGGAAACGAGATAGACCCATAGTTCCTTTTGATGATCTGCGTAGAATCATATTCCGTCCGTCCGTTTGTCCATGTATTTTTGTGAACAAAGTACAGTTCGCATTTATTAGCCGATCCAGACGAAATTTGGCACAAATCATTTGTTTGACCCAAGGACGAACCCTGTTAAATTGGAGATAATCGGTAAAATATTAGATATAGCTCCCATATATATCTTCTTCCGATTTGCCTTTTATTGTGCACCAAACGTGTAATATCAACCCGAATAGTAGTAATAGTAATAGGAATTTTGCATATACAACCAAATTAGGCCTGAAAATAAGTATGCCAAATTTGATCGAAATCGGTTCAGATATAGCTATAGTTCCAATATATATTATCCATCCGATTTGTTATTTTAGTCCTCCGCAGCCGTAATATGCACTTTGTAACAACAATATATGGGGTAGTATATCAAATACAGCTCAGAAATATCTCCGCCAAATTTTATCAAGATCGGTTCAGATTTGGATATGGCTCCCACATATAAATTCGTCTGATTTACCTTTTATTGTGCACCAAACGTATAATATTTGCCCAAATGGGATGAAATTTGGCACTTACGACCGAATTGAGTGTAGAAGCTAGTATGTCAAATTTGGTGAAGATGGGTTCAGATATAGCTATAGCTTCTATATATTTTGTTCATCCGATTTGTTATATTTGTTACCCACAGCCGTAATATGCACTCCGTAACAACGATATTCGGGGAAATATATGAAATACAGCTCAGAAATATCTTTGCCAAATTTTATCAAGATCGGTTCAGATTTGGATTTGATGGGCAATACAAGTCCGAATTTAAAAGTTACAAATGCTTCTGGCATATTTTGTCTTTTGAACTTTAAATTATAATTATAATAATATTGTGTATGATTGAATTCTCCCATAAAAACTTTTAATTGTTATGTGGAGCTCTACTAAATTAGCAAAGTGGTGTAGGGTATCATAAAGTCGGCCCCGCCCGACTTTAAGACTTTCTTTACTGGTTTTCATTTTACTTTGTTTTTAGTTTGTGTTTTTTTAATACAAGTAAAATACAAATAATTAACAAGATAAAAAGTATCTGTAGGTTTTGCGAAAGATGTATATCCTAAGTCAATATACGATTATTTAAAAATATTTTGACTTCCGTTATGATTATTCAAATGTTTAACCCCTTATGGTGTATGTTCCGAAGGAATGCACCAATATTGGACATTTCGTATCGGACCTAAATAAATATGATATAAATATTGCGACATGCTAGGTTTGGACTATATTCGTAACTTCCTTCACTTTACATGACATATTTACATGACATATATAAGTATTTTATTTTCATGCTTCATCTAATACATATAAAAATATTGGTATGGACAATATTACAAGAAAATCGAACATTTAAATCTAATTTATGGAAAATCATAAATTTCATATTCACCTCAGGTTTCTGGCAAACAGAGATATATATTTAGAATAGCTTAAGTTGTAAAGAATCGCTGATTTGTTTCGCAAGTTATGACAGATTACAGAATTGAAAATGAGCCTCAAGGATATCCAAAATTTTGATCCTTTGTGGGGGAGGTACCAGAAGGAGTGGGCTGATATACCCCATTTTTATGAGATTAATGGATATTCAAAATTTCGAACTTTTGTGGGGAAGGTACCACAAGGAGTGGACCGACATATTTCATCTGATCACCAGAGCATGGGTTATAAAAATATTGGGATGTGTGCAATTTTAAGACAATCGGATTCTTACATCACATTTTATAAGAGTTGTAATTATTCACAATTTTGACACTTTTTGGGGGAGGTACTTGATGGAGTGAACCGATTTTATCAATTTTTGCACCTGACACAAATATTAGGATTTGAAAAGTTGGAGCAAAATCGGATAATCGTTTCTCTTTCTGTGCAGAAAATATATATTGTTGAAAATGTTGACCTTTTGTGGGGAGATACTAGAAGGAGTGGACCGAATATGTCCATCTTAACACCAGACTTTGGGTTGACAAAAATATTGGGATGTGTGAAACTTGAAGACAATCGGACTCTTACATCATATTTTATAAGAGTTGTAATTATTCAAAATTTTGACCCTTTGAGGGGGAGGTACTTGATGGAGTGAACCGATGTTATCCATTTTTGCACCTGACCTAGAACTGACGCAAATATTAGGATTTGCAAAGTTGGAGCAAAAACGGATTATTACTGTGCAGAAAATATTTTTGTTTGAAAATTTCGACCTTTTGTGGGGGAGGTACCACAAGCAGTGGACCAATGTATTACATCTTGGCACCAGACCTAGTGTTAATAAAAATTATTGGGATGTGTGAAAATTGAAGATTTGAAGTAATTATTCTAAATTTTGGCCCTTTTTGGAGAAGGCACTTGATGGAGTGAACCGATATTATCTATTTTTCCACCTGACCTAGAACTGACGCAAATATAAGGATTTGCTTATTAGGATATCGCAAAATCGGATTATCGGTTCTCTTTCTGTGTAGAAAATATATATTATTGAAAATTTCGAACTTTTGTGGGGGAGGTACCAGAAGGAGTGAACCGATATTGACCATCTCCGAGCTCGATCTAGGTTTGACAAAAATATTACGATGTACCAAGTTTGGACCAAATCGGGTATACCCCCTTCGAGAGTTATCGTGCGCACCAGCCAGCCAGACAGACAGACGGGCGGACTTCGCTAGATCTACTCCAAATGGAATCCCGAAATTTGATATTGAGGTCTCTGTTTTTATCTGGAATTGAAATCTTGTGGTAGTTTCACAAATGCGTACTATAATTCATCGAAATGTAATAAATGGTACATTATCACAGTTGGTGTGAAAAACTACAACTGTTTTAGACTTATTCATTGTCTCTTAGGGCAGTTTGGTAAGCACCTAATATCCATATTAAATTATGGGTTTAGGTTGTGTAGTGCGGATGTACATTTTTTGTGTCCCAAAACCAGCGGAGGTTTAAGATAGCTCGCAATCACCATACAAGTGGGAAGAGTTTTCTAATTTGAATATTTCTCTTTTTCCCTCGACAATCTAGAGGCATAAACTTTTCTTTACATTGAAAATACTTGAAAATCACGTATCTAATAGTTTCTAGGAAAATGTTAACAATATATTCTTGAAAGCTTATGAATAATATGAGAACTTTCGTTTTGCCGACCATAATGGTAAATCGCTTGCCTGCATTTGTGTAGTTTATAATTTCTATACCTTCGAAAGGGAAGGGAATTATTCAAGCAAATGGACATTTTTATGAAGCTAAATTACCTCCACTCACCACCGAGCGGCGAGTATAATTGCTCTGTCACATGAAACCATGGCAACTGGAAAAAAGGAAAGGACTGGGTGACTAACCACCTCATTGGTTTTTCTATTGTCAGACCATCAGGAATAAGAATAGAACAAACTACGCACCAAAGGCAAAAAAGCATTGGCAAAAGAAACATAAAAAAACATTCCAAAGTAAAAATGGCCAGTGATGATTCCTGGGTTTTTGATTCGTTGGTGTGTTTTCTGCACGGACCCGTTTGGAATGCTCCCCTGCAAACATTTATTGAGGAGAAATCGCTGAGTAAGCGTATCTTAAAAAATTATAAAAAAAAAAAAAATCCTGAACGACTATTAAATCTTCTTTTAGTTTTCGATCCCAATTTGCAGCCGGACGAAAGTAATCCCGAGGTCAAGCGCATCCATGAAGATTATAAAAATCTTGTCGACTACATGTTGGGTAGTTTTATGGAAGAAATGCAAATTACGCCAGAGCAATTTGAAATGGCCTGTTTGGAGGGTAGGCAGCAGCATAAGGATAATCCCTTTCAATTTCATCAGGGTTTATTCCAGCAGGTGGGTAGTACAAACAAGAATAGGTCCGACATATATTTTCCGATTTGTTACGTTTTCCATATTCCAGATATGGGCTGCCAATGACATAAAAATTTTCATACGCATGATGACTCAGCGTAATGTCGAACTACAGCTACAGGCGTTGGATTTGATAGAGAAAAATCAATTGGCATTGTTTCAGCAGGGTGAAAGTTTCGACAGTCCCAGCGAGAGTGGAAGGCAGTCACAAAAGTGAGTGATTAAGTATTCCCACTGGAAAATATTATTCGGTTAATATTTTACATATTTAAATATTTTATTGATAATGATTTCCAAGAGAACATATTGTCTGAATAATTTTTATCATATCATCTGGATAATATTTTCTGTAGGTTAGGGAAATCGTAGTCGGATGATATTTTTATTGGAAAATTTATCCAGATTGTATTTGTGTACGAAAACATTATCAGGATGATGATTTTTGCTGAAGGAAAACATTATCCATATAATATAAGAAAACATTATCCGGCTGATATTTGCCATAGAAAAACAGATAAAAAGTATAGGATAATATTCTGTGTAGAAGAACATAACCTTTATAAGATATTTAAGGCAATCATTACCAGCATACCATTTTCTATAAGAAAAAATAAACTGGATAATATTTACTAAAATATAATATTTAGAAAAAGACATTACCCTGGAAAATTAGCCAGATATTATTCGGATAATATTTTTTATATGAAAACATTATATGGATAATTTAAAACATTTTGCGGATAATAAGCATCTGTAGTAAAACATTATCCGGATAACATTTTCTAAACTAAATGTTTTTTAAATAATGTTTTCCCATAGAACTTGTTATACGGTTTATATTTTCTAAAGAAAAACCCAATCCGGATAATATTTGAAGACAGTATCCGAACAAGGTTTTTTTCTATAGAAAATATTATCCGGTTTATGACAATGCATAGAAAATATTATCCGGATAATTTTTTCTGTAGGAAAACTTTATTCGGATAATATTTTATATATCTAAATACTAGTAAGTGCCCGCTACTCCGTCAACGAAAAGTCCACCTTATAATTTTAGATTCGCTCCTACTGTTAGTGTTAAGCCTATTTACTTCATAAATCGTACTAAATTCAGATTTCTAAGGATTTATACATTATTCAAGAAAATGATTACCTTTTGCGCTAAAGAATTTTCAAAATCTTCCATTTTTATGTTTGATGAAGAGGATATTAGTAAACCCATTGCACAGTGGACTCACATGCAATTTATCTGTGCAAAACAATTACAACCTCTCCATATGTAAACCTAAGAAACCAACAGTGATCTTAATATCAAGTTCCAGGATTTCAGCTCTGTAATTTCCCCATTACCAAATTTAGTATAATCTTAGTACGCATTATCAAAACAAGCACCTTCTCTCAACCACAGACACAAATAGTGACATCCATAACAAATTTCAGGATTCCAGCTCCATCCCTTCACCAAACACTCAATTAAGTACCACTTAGTACTTTTGGAACAATTATAGTAAACGTTTCCAAATACCAACAGACAATAATTCCAGATACCAACAGAGACCTCAGTATCAAATTTCGGAATTCCAAACCTTTAAAATCACTCAATGCCGAATATCATATAATTTTAGTACTCATTTGCAAAACCGTTCCATTTCTCAATCCTAGACACCAACAAAGACCTTAATATAGAATTTCAGGATTTCAGATCTATTCCTCCACTTAATACCAAATTTTGCACTATTAAGTACTTTTCGTACGATTATAGTACACTTTTCCAAAACCACCTTCATATTTCAATTCCAGATACCAACAGAGACCTCAATATCAAGTTTGAGGATTCCACCCTTACTCGTTTCCCAATACCAAATTTAGTACTTTTTGTACAATTATAGTTTGAACATTTCCAAAACCACCTCCATATGTCCAGGCTACACAAGAACAGCGACCCTTATACCAAATTTCAAATTCAAGCACTATTTGTTCACCCAATACCAAATTCTACCGTTCACATAACAGCAAATGGTTTCATTTTAAATGTTTAATTCAATTTTAGAACTTTTCGTAACCTTAAAGTTCGAATTTCGAAAAAAAGACTTTGATACATCTATTCTACACTCCATCAGTATCTCTCATTCCAGAAATTTTCTAACGTAAAAATACTCTAAATAATGAACACAGTGCCCGGACAATGTTGTCTAATGGCAAATATTATCCCTTAAACGTTTTTCTATAGAAAATATTATCCGGTTATTGACTTTCCGGATAACATTTTCTTTTAGAAAGCTTTAAATTTTTAATAGTTTCTGAAATTTTACATTATCCAGCTAATAGTGTTGATTGGAAAATTTATCCACATTATATTTGCATTATTCGGATAATATTTTGCGCATTATGTTTCCTACAGGAAAGCTATATTTTATGTAGGATATTTTCTAATTTTGATTCAAATAACGTTTTCTATAGGAAAACATTCTTCGGACAATTATCCGGATTATGTTGCAAATAACAATTTATTTTTGTATTTTTCTAAGCGACAAACATAGCGATGTGGACAATTTCATTGCAAAATCTGTGGGCAAAGAAATGGAAACGCCTGAGGCATCTGTGACCCCAGAGCCCGATGCCACCGAACAGGATGTCAATGAAAAGTTTGAACGTTTAAATTTATTCTTTGAAAAAAATCAACAGGTATTTGAAAAATTATTCCTATATCAAAAATACAATACAATTATTAAACCTCCCCCCTTGTAGGTAAATCCCGATGAAATGATAACACGCCAAGAATATCTGAGAGAGCAACGTGATAAAATCATTGAGCTGAAAAAGAAAACTAGAGCCAAACAGTTGCAAGAGACAGTGGCCAAATCATTGAACTCGCCAGTACCGGGGACATCTGCCTCGAAAAGTGCTAGGCCCACTTCGGCCCAAGTGGCTCAGAAACTAATGGAAAATGTTTCCAAACCAAATGCTGCCTTGGAAAAGCCGGACGAGGTGGAGACCGACTCGGCATTACAGTTGAGAAAAACGTTGGCAAAACGCTTGAAGGCTGAAGTTGTGGAACAGAATTGAAGTGTTTCAAAAAAAGGGGGAATAAGAAAAACTAAACATAATAAATTTATTTCATTTAATGAAATAAATTTTTCAGAACATTACTTAATTCTAGCAAAAGAAAACTCTATATTTGCCTTGTTTAGTCTAAAACTTAAATACATAAATATTTTTCAATTTATTGATGTGAGCATATCAAAAGCTTGTTTTAGTTATAACAAAAGGAAAATTTTTCTTCAAATTTTTTTTTAAAGTATAATGTGGACAATCTGTATACTTTTTATATCATTTGGTAAATTAAAAAAAAAAAAAACTATATTTTTCTTCGCCATAACCTCACATTTTTAACAACTGTTTTATTGGTAATGATGACTAGTTTTTTGGCAAATAAATTCTGTTTTTTTTTTTCATTGTTTTTTTTAAACAAAACACATTCACAAATTCGGTTGTGTAGAAATATATGCTACTCTAAATAAATGTTTTAAATAAATTCTAAGGTAAGCTGATCTCTTGTCCCCAATCTCTCTCTTTCTCCCACTCATTTAGCCTAGTTGTGCTGCCTGGTTGTCTTTTTGTGTGGCTGAATTTTGCTGCGCTTAGGTCATTATTTGTGTATATTTTTTGGTCTCATTAAACTGGTATGCGATCACGCAAATAGGACATTATGGCCTCGGTTCCCCTTTCCAATGTTTGATGACGTGGTAATTTAAATGGATTTCCGATAATTTCCAGGGTCCTAAAAATGCGATACGTATAGTAACGGATTCTTCGACAGTATGCAGAAAAAAAACTTACGTGATATTCTTTAAATTTCCCAGTATTGGTGGAACATGATCGATATCATTGTTACGCAGATCTAAAATGGCCAGACGTTTGAGGGCCCCCAATCCATCGCTGGTGGCATCAATGGATTTAATGCGATTATCACATGCCAGCAGAATTTCCAAGCCTTTTAAATCATAAATACATTTGGGTAGGGTTTCGAATCTGGAAGTAAAAATGCGTATTTTTATGTAGGTGGACTTCTAGAATATAGAGCATATAGACCAAGTGGGAGTCTCCCCATATGTGAATAAGGTCAAAAACAGCCAGGCCGTTTTTACAAGGCGAGCTGAAGAGTCACCTTGGTTCAGGTTCATAGCCAAATTTAGGGACCAGCCAGATTTTCAATGTTAATGCAAGCCGGTCTGCCTATTTATAGCCAGCCATACTGTGGGACCTGCTCATAGGCCACTTTCTTACCTATTATTGGATATATTCAGCTCTCTCAGGGTGACCAAAACTCCAAACTCTTCAGGTAAATCTTGTAGACTATTACAGGATAAATTAACCAATGATAAGCGGGTAAATTGCGAGATAAAAGAGGGCACATGATTGATTAGGTTATTAGCAAACACCAACTCCGAACAACAATCTTTCATTTCCAATAAACTAAATAAAGAAAAGAGAAGTGGAGATATAAAAAACTATGTCATAATCACAGATAGATCAAAACATACCCCTCTGGCAGGGTGGTGAAACGATTTTTGGATAAATCAACAATGTTGACATGCTCATTGCAGGCGGTTTCAAATACTTCGCGTGGCACCTCAGTCAGCTGTTGCATGGTCACTGTAAGGCAGCGAGTTTTATGGAGTTTGTATCTGAAAGGAAAGGGTGAAAGGGAGATAGAATGATTACACAGTGCAACACAAAAAGTAATTAAGGATAAAATCCAGCGGATTTTGAAAGTAGAGCTAAAAAAGTTTACATCGAAAAGTAACCTTTTCTGCTCTTTTGAAAATTTTCGGATTAAGATTCCTCGGAATCTGTGCATTTTAAATATATTCAACAATATTGCATAAAAATACGTGACATATTTTGTCCTTCTGTAGGGGCAAGTTTCGCCCCCAAAACACCGATATACGTGTCTTCTTTTTTAGCTCTACTTTCATAATCTGCTGGATTTTTACCGTATTTATGAAATAATTGAATTATGTCGCACAGTGTTATTAGTTTCGAATATTCAAAAATATGTTCTAAAGGCCACTACCATTAAGTTGTGAGAGTATACGTGTGGAAAGATGAAAATACATCAAAGGATTTTTTCCTGGGATGTGTCATCGACTGGCTTTTCTATAGAAAAACAAGGCCGTTAGGTTTAGTTAATTCAATTTATGCTCATAAGCTTTTGTTATTTAGAGAAAAATCCAGCCGACGATTTATGCCAGAAAAAATCTACCTATTCTCGCTGAAGAGTAGGCATTTTATTATAGAAGTCGGGAGCAGTCCCAAAAACCTCCTCTCTCATTCGGAAAAAAGAAAGTATTCACACGTTTTAAATGTGACTTATAAAGGGAATGTTTAAAATATGCACCCAGTAAATCTTTTAAGTATTCGAATGGAAACGCGGGAATACTTCGAAATATTTTCTTTTTGGGAAAAGTCATCGGCTGGCTTTTCTATAAAAAAGGAGATAGGTTGACTTAGTTTTTATATTGCAAGCAACCAAGCCGATGATTTATCCCAGAAAAAAGTCCTTCTATTCTGACCTGACCTTGTCGTAAACACATCTGATCCGTACCAGAACTGCAATAATGTAAAAGTTTTTACTAACATAACCGCTTGATGATATAGAAAAAAAGAAAACTAGTAGATTCTTGCAGGTTCTGGAGCAGGCCAGTCAATAGCAATGAATTTATTTTTTTGTAATTCGAACTTCAACACTGACATGAAAAATCAGTGCTACGCCTTCATTTCTTACCTATTGGGAAATATGGAATTTTCTTCTTCGAAACTTAGGCCTCTTCGGGGACTATTCAAACCGTCAGCCCCCATACTGCCAGTCAGCGAAGATGATGAATTTGAGGTTTTCGCTGCCGCTTCTATACCCGCCTGACGATCACGCAGAGTTTTTAAAATACGCACCGTTCCACACTGCAATATGTCACGACGTATGGATTTAATCGGATTGCCCTCCACCTGCAGACTGACGAGATGAGCCAAGGAAGCCAATGAGTAGGGTAAATTTGATACGGAATTATTCGAGATGTCCAGGCGTGTTAGATTTTGAAGCAAAGAAATTTCATTGGGTATTTCGGTGATTTTATTGTCTCGCAAATCGACAATTTTCAAATGTGGCAAATGGGAACAGAGCTTCTTTGGTATTTTCTATGAAATAAAAAAAGAACAACAATTAGACAGTAGTTTTTATTTGTTTTTTTTTTTTTTTTTTAATAATAATAAGTTAAAACGATGGCCGGATTCGAGTATGACATGTAAAAATATGTCATGCGAAGACTTTAAGTTGCTTATGTAATCAGACCTGATTGATAGGCTTCTTGCTCTAGAGGCTCTCATCTAGATCTAGATCACTCGACTGCTTTTGACACCCCTGAGTGGGGGAGTTCTATTCACCATATTATGTTTTGGATGACTCAATCTGGTGAAGGATACGATTATGCTGATGTAGGGTAAAAACCAGGCCTCCTCATCAAATTGGTCCACTGGAGTCATGAGGAGGCACCCTGTTGCTGTCCGCAGGCAGCATTCTATAATGTTTGGACATTCATCTACTGCGTAGCACTAGTATTCGCAGACCATAGCGATTGCATAGCTAAGATAATAAGAGGTCAGCAAGGTGTCCTTATCCGCGCCACAAGTGCTGCCGGCTAGCCTCGTGAGATCGCCGGCTAGCCTCGTGAATATGCGTCGATTGTGACCCCTAGAATTTTGGGGTAGTAAGTGGTTGGAATTATGTGCCCACGACGTATACATTTGGCTGTGTCTCACCTATAAGCAACCTCGAACGGAAAAGTACAAACAAAGTTCACGTATTCTCTCTTGATTTTAATTTACCATAGATTGGTCATACCATACGGCCTCGCTTACCATTTAGTGTCGGATATATTCATATTCTACCTCTGAGGGAATACGCGAAGTTCCGCGAGATAGGTGTTAAACCGGACACATATGCCGACGGCAAGACCCGTCGCCATGATCTTTCAAGTGTTGTTGCACAACAATCGTAACAACAACCACATACAAATTTGTTTTTGTAAGTAATACAAGTGTCAGAGTTATGTGTCCAAAAATGTAAACAAAATAATACATTTTCAATAAATTATTTTAATTTCAAAAATATACATTTTTCGAATTTGGATTATTAAATTGCAAATGCAAAAGAATACTTCTTAAATTGTTCAATTTTAATGCTTTCACATCATTCCCCTGAATGTATAGTTGTTAGCTGTTGGTTCTAATCTCTCAACACTTCAAGCAATCGCTAGAAAATCGCGGAAAAGGCAATATCTCTTCGAAGTTGAAGCGGAACAGAATACATACATGAAGTATTCTACATTTTGCAATTTTAGGAAACATGAAATATACGAATATATTATATAACGTGGTGTCGCTGTTCCTTAACGACAAAAAAGTTTCCGAACCATGGCCTTTAGCGTTTTGTTAAGTACATCGGCGTTTGTTTCTATTATTAGGCAAATTGTCCTGCAGTGAAATTTTATACCAAAACAAGTTAAAAAGCAGAAGGTTCGGCCGGGCCGAACTTTGAATACTCTCCACCATTTGGAACGAATTCGGAAATAAAATCCTTAAAAAAATCTGTTATAATTTTAAAAATACCGAATATTGCCGTTATATTGGTGTCTATACCACGTGGACCTACATGGGCATTGTTTTGTCATAAGTCATTACAATATTCAAATTCGAAACTTGAAATAAACGGTGGATAATGTAGCTAAAATCATCAAAATATCGTATATAGGGAGGTAACGTTATATCGGAGCTGTGCGAAGACCTGAACCAGCATAGACAATTTTCTGCCATAGGCTGTAGCATCCATAACGAACTTCAAATACGCGTCTCAAACAATTTCGGTGGGTATTGTACCTAAACTCGTCAAAATACCGAATACAGGGAGGTACTGGTATGTGGGCCCTATACGAACGACCTGCATAGAAAATTTTCTGTCACAGACTGTAGTTCCCATTACCAGCTCTAAATACGTAATTTGAAACAATTCCGTTGAATAATGACGCTACAATCATCAAAATACCGAATATAGGGAGGTACCGTTATATGGGGGCTATACGAAGACGTGGACCTGCACAGACAGTTTTCTGTCTTAGGCTGTAGTATCCATTACGAACTTAAAATACCAAATTTGAAACAAATCTGGTGAATAATGTCGCTAAAATCATCAAAATACCGAATATCGGGAGGTACCGTTATATGGGGGCTATATGAAAACGTGGACCTACATGGAATATTTAAGAACTTAACCTGCCTACTGGAAAAATAAACACGTGTGCAATATTTTAGCCTTCTATCTCAATTCGTTCGAAAGATAGCGTGATTACAACAGACAGACAGACGGATATGGCTAAATCGACTTAGAACGCTTTTTTACGCTGATCAAGAATATATATACTTTGTTGGCTCTGACATGAGTATTTCGAGGATTTACAAACGGAATGACAAAGTTAATATACCTGCCATAGTATGGTGGAGGGTATAATAAGGGTATACCTATTGTATATTAAGAAATGGAATTAAATCACAAAACGTCATATCGAGTTGGACACTAGTGTTACTATAGAGTCAAATCAGCTGGGACTTGCTGTTACCTATAATAATTATACTATTAGAAAAAAATTGTAATTAGCTGGTAACTCTACTATACCTTTTTATTCTAACATGGATGGGAATACACATGGTACAATGATATCAAGGTAGGGCTATGATACCATATGATTTCAATTTTTTTATTTTCTTGGCTTAATATGTCGTCTTTATTTGTTTATGTATGTGTTTTCTTTTCCATAACAAAAAATTGTTCAGAAAACATTCAAATTCGGATGTTTTCAAAATGTTTATTTTATCGTATGCATCGACAAAATCTGGAGTTTTTGTAGCAAAATAATACTTTAGAGATATATAGAACCTGGTTTTGAAAAGAAGTGTTGACCTTTCATTCAGTTTTCGCGGTTTTCAATTATTTATTCAAAATAAATGCAACAAGTTGTTTGATTTTGTTATGGTTTTGATACTAATTCTGACATTACAAGCCAAACAGGTAGACCTCTATTCTTGCAATTTTTTCAAAGTTGACCTACCTTCTCTTCATTGTACCATGGGAATACATACTTTTTGACCCTACGCTCCTTTGTACTTTCACGAAGGAGCCAGATGTTGACTTTTGCCAGTATTTGTATCTTAACGCAATACATAAAACAGAAGCTTCAAAATGGGCTGCAAAATTGTACATACCTCTATGAAATTATTTGACACATGTAGCTCTTGTAGGTCACAGCCATCAAAATCTGGTAACTCTTTGATATCATTGTGCTGGGCATATAAACATTGCAGCTTCCTCAGACTGCCCATATCTTCGGACAGTGCAATCAAATCGTTATGCATTAAATCCAATTTTTGCAAAGCTATGGAGAGAAGACAAAACATTAATTATCCATTATCGTATACAAGATCGCCATAGTTTCAACTTACAACGCATATTGACCAAATCTGGCGGTAATTCTTTAATATGATTATAGGCTAGTAAAAGCGTGTTGAGACGCACCAAAAAACCAATACCACCAGGTAAAGCGTTAAGTTCATTATTTGAGACATCCTTTTGTTTGGAATGAGGGGGAAGGGGTGGATTAATCGTTAGATATATTTTAAAAGTATGTATATTAGAAAGTATGTAATTAAATAATTGTTAGAAATATGTATATTTGCCAAATAATTCTCCGTAATAGTTAAAAAAAAAAAACGAAAATATTTCCTATTTTCATGGTTTTTGCTATATTTTGAAGCATATTTTCTCTCAAACTGTTATACTTAGATATGTTTCTTATTTCTAGACTTCAAGTGAAATTTGAATAGCAGCATAAATTGCTTAGCGTGTCATATGCTGTTGAACCAACACTCAATAGAAATATTCTATCTAATATTCCCCTTTTTATACCCTCCACCATAGTATGGAGGGCATATTAAGTTTGACACACTTCGAAATTTACATTTTAGAATTCACAAACTATATATATTCCTGATCAGAATAAAATTCTATTTCGATTTAGCGATGTTCGTCTGTCTGTGGAAATAACTCTAGCTTCCGAACAAATTGAATTAGGTTGAATAAATTTTACACAGATGTGTTTTAAGTCTGCAGGACTTTTGGTATAGACCCATATAACTTCAACGCAAATTTTGTGTGTGTTTTAGTCACAATTTCAAACCGAATTTGCTGTAAATTGGTAATATGTATTTTCTATATGTAAGAAACATCCTTGCAGAGAACTGGTACACCAACAAAGGCTTATACTTCGTTAGCGAAAAGTGTTAGTTTCGTTCCATCAGTTCATTCAAACAGAACTTCATACATCGTTCTAACTTTTTAGCTGCACCAATTTATTCATATCCAAGTTTTTCCTTTATCGAAAGGGATAAGAAAAATGATTAATTTTTGCACCAAAAAGCCTTCAAATTCGTTCCTTTTGAAGTTTACCGAAGTTAAACCCTTGCACAATGATTCCACATTCAGTTTTTTATGGCCAATCTATTTCAATGTTTTTTTCGTAAAAAAATTGGCCACCACCATATCTAAATCCTAGAAAATAATAGTGACCTCAATATCAAATTTCCGAATTCATGTTCTATCTTTTCTCTCAACGGGAAATTAAGTACCAATTTGTACTTTTCGAACAATCATAGTGGGCATTCCCAAATCCACCTACTTCTCTCGAAACTATACCAAAAGTATCCTCCATATCGAACTTCAGAATTCCAGCTCTATAGTAATACCCAATCCCAAATTTATTACAATACATTTCGTAGAGTACTTTTCGTACAATTATAGTACACATTGTGAAAACCACCTCCATATCTCAATTCCTTTCACCCAATACCATTTAGTACTTTTTGTACAAATATAGGACCGGAACAGCGGAAAATCTTGAACACAGATACCATCAGTAATCTAAATATCAAATTTCAGAATTTTATCTCTATCCTTTCACCCAGTGCCAAATATGGTAACATTTTGTACTTTTCGTACAACTAGAGTACACATTTCCTAAACCGAAGGTAACGTTAAAAGAAATCTGCATAAAGACATTTGCAGTGCGCATGATAACCTTCGAAAGGAGTTAGCGGTGTGGGCCAAATTTGGCACATCGTAATAGTTTTACAATACTAAAATCGCACATCGTAATATTTAATTAGATACTATTTAGGTCAAGTGCGAAAACGGACATAATACGTAATACTAAATTATCAAAATTTTGAATAATAATAATAACTCTCGTAAAATTTGAAATCCGTGTCCGATTTTCTTCATACTTAACACATCTTAATTTGTTTGGCATATATTAGAGAAATGAAAATATTGAGTACATCGAGTATGTACATCGGCCAACTTGTTCGCCTCCTACAAAGTTAAACATTTTTCTCAATAAAACCATATGAGATATTGAACAAAGGGAGTACAAGTTAGTACTTTTCGTACATATAAAGGAGGAATTTCTGATTTTCCAGCTCTACCTCTCCATCCAACACCGAATTTATTACCATTTAGTACTTTCAAATGTCGCCAAATCTCAAACACAGATACAATTTTTATCTTTATTCTTTCACCCAGTGCCAAATATAGTACACATTTCCGAAACCACCTTCATATATCCAGGCTACCCTAATGTCAAATTTCAGATTTCAAGCACTATCTGTTCACCCAATACCAAATTGTATCAAATATAGTACTCTTCGTACCCATTTCCAAAACCACCCCTTACCACAAACCAACCACAATACAAAATTTCAAAATTTAAGCTTCATCCGATCAACCTGAACCAAAGCATTTTAGATTGAGTCCACTTTTTTGTAACCTTAAAGATTGAATTTCCAAAAGCCCCTATCCTGCACTCCAGCAGTGACGCTCATTCTCACACACTCAATTTTTAATACTTTTCGTATCCTTTTGGTATGAATTTTCAAAAACCCAGCCTTAACGTGCAAATTTTCAGCCGTTTTGACTGGGCGTTGATTCTAGGCCAGCCAGTTATTTCATTATTCTTTTATATATAGATATATAGTTTTGACCCCATATAAATTTACCTTCAGATATTCGGTGTTTTGATGATTTGTGTCTTTCACCCAGTGCCAAATATAGTACACATTTCCGAAACCACCTTCATATATCCAGGCTACCCTAATGTCAAATTTCAGATTTCAAACACTATCTGTTCACCCAATACCAAATTGTATCAAATATAGTACTCTTCGTACCCATTTCCAAAACCACCCCTTACCACAAACCAACCACAATACAAAATTTCAAAATTTAAGCTTCATCCGATCAACCTGAACCAAAGCATTTTAGATTAAGTCCACTTTTTGTAACCTTAAAGATTGAATTTCCAAAAGCCCCTATCCTGCACTCCAGCAGTGACGCTCATTCTCACACACTCAATTTTTAATACTTTTCGTATCCTTTTGGTATGAATTTTCAAAAACCCAGCCTTAACGTGCAAATTTTCAGCCGTTTTGACTGGGCGTTGATTCTAGGCCAGCCAGTTATTTCATTATTCTTTTATATATAGATACTAGCTGAACCCGGTGCGCTTCGCTACCCCTTTTGATTTTATATGCATTCAAAATTTTATTTACGAATATATGTTGGTTAAAAAAAAAAAAAAACATATTTAAAAATTAAAAAAAAAATTATTGCACTACTTTAATGCGTAAATATACAAAACCATTAGAAAAACGGTAACATGACATACATACACGAAGGGTTTGTCCTTCGGATTTATTTATTTCATAGCAAATACCAAGCGTGCAGTAAACTGCAATCTTTTGAAGTTGAGTGGTATTTCTGTTGCAATTAATGAATTCAAGATAGCAACATACTTCGCCGTAATAAGCGTATTTCAAATTAATTGTTGTGTTGTTTTTTAGTGTTAGCCTAAGGCGTTGTGGGTCAATGGTTCTTATTAAAATCATATCCCAATCTGATCCGATTTAAATATAATTTAAAAAAAAATACTTTTACACCAAATTCCGCCACACCTTTCATATTTCATTGAAATTGGTGCGTCAAATACGTGAAATCGGCCGAGAATATATATATGGGAGCTATATCCAAATCTTAACTAATTTCCAATTAATTTGTCACATTTATTATTGTAACCACACATATGTTAGCTATACCCAAACCTCAACTGATTTCAATAAAATTTGGCAATTTTTTCTGGTGCCAGATTTCGTCTTTCTCGCTTTGGGTGCATCAAATATGTGAAATCGGCTGAGTATATATGTGGGAGCTATAATTAAATCCGAGCGTATTTGAATATAATTTGTCAAATTTATTTTTGTACCAAGTTTAGCCACTCATGCCGAATTTCATTGGAATCGGAAATACGTATCGTGTTTTGTGCATCAAATATGTGAAATCGGCGGAAAATATATATGGGAGCTATATCCAAATCTGAACCGATTTTAATATAATTTGACTAATTCATTTTCTAATCAAAATCCCGTTACATATTCCAAATTTCTTTGGAATCGAACATACATATCGTGCATGGTGCATAAAATACATGAAATCGGTCGAAAATATATATGAGAGCTATATCCAAATCTGAACCGATTTTACTATAATTTGACAAATGTATATTCGTTTTAATTTCCCCTACAGATTCCAAATTTCATTGAAATTAGAGATACATAGCGTGTTTGGTGCATCAAATACATGAAATCGGTCGAAAATATATATGGGAGCTATATCCAAATCTGAACCGATTTCAATATAATTTGAAAAATTCATTTTTGCTCCCGATTCCGTTACTTATTTTAAATTTCATTAAATTTGGACATACATATCTTATTTGGACCACCAAATACATGAAATCGGCCGAAAATATATATGGGAGCTATATCCAACTCTGAACCGATTTCAATATAATTTGGGAAATAAATTTTTTTTAGATAAAATCTATCACACGTTTCAAATTTCATTGAAATTGGGGATACATAGCGTGTTTGGTGCATCAAATGCTTGAAATCGGCCGAAAATATATATGGGAGCTATATCCAAATCTGAACCGATTTCAATATAATTTGACAAATTTATTTTCGGATCAAATCCAGTCACATATTCCAAATTTCATTGCAATCATAGCAAATACCAAGCGTGCAGTAAACTGCAATCTTTTGAAGTTGAGTGGCATTTCTGTTGCAATTAATGAATTCGAGATAGCAACATACTTCGCCGTAATAAGCGTATTTCAAATTAATTGTTGTGTTGTTTTTTAGTGTTAGCCTAAGGCGTTGTGGGTCAATGGTTCTTATTAAAATCATATCCCAATCTGATACGATTTAAATATAATTTTAAAAAAATTACTTTTACACCAAATTCCGCCACACCTTTCATATTTCATTGAAATTAGTGCGTCAAATACGTGAAATCGGCCGAGAATATATATATGGGAGCTGTATCCAAATCTTAACTAATTTCCAATTAATTTGTCACATTTATTATTGTAACCACACATATGTTAGCTATACCCAAACCTCAACTGATTTCAATAAAATTTGGAAATTTTTTCTGGTGCCAGATTTCGTCTTTCTCGCTTTGGGTGCATCAAATATGTGAAATCGGCTGAGTATATATATGGGAGCTATAATTAAATCTGAGCGTATTTGAATATAATTTGTCAAATTTATTTTTGTACCAAATTTAGCCACTCATGCCGAATTTCATTGGAATCGGAAATACGTATCGTGTTTTGTGCATCAAATATGTGAAATCGGCGGAAAATATATATGGGAGCTATATCCAAATCTGAACCGATTTCAATATAATTTGAAAAATTCATTTTTGCTCCTGATTCCGTTACTTATTTTAAATTTCATTAAATTTGGACATACATATCTTATTTGGTCCACCAAATACATGAAATCGGCCGAAAATATATATGGGAGCTATATCCAAATCTGAACCGATTTCAATATAATTTGGGAAATAAATTTTTTTAGATAAAATCTATCACACGTTTCAAATTTCATTGAAATTGGGGATACATAGCGTGTTTGGTGCATCAAATGCTTGAAATCGGCCGAAAATATATATGGGAGCTATATCCAAATCTGAACCGATTTCAATATAATTTGACAAATTTATTTTCGGATCAAATCCCGTCACATATTCCAAATTTCATTGGAATCGAACATTCATATTGTGTTTGAGGCTTCAAATGAACGAAATCGGTCGAAAATATATATGGGAGCTATATCCAAATCTGAACCGATTACAATATAATTTAGCAAACTTATTTTTGTTCCAAATTCCGTTACACATTCCAAATTTGTAGACTGTATCTTTAACCGATCAATAGATATGTGCATATAAAATCTAAATTTTTGGGAGGTACCTCCGATTCTGATGCTATATCTCCAGTTCCAAGTGGAAATTCAAAAATGTATATAGACTATGTTACTTTCAGGCGATGTTGCAGTATATATGGAAATTTTCAGAAAAATCTATTCAGCAGTTTTCGAGTCCATAAATTACAAACAAACAAACAAACAAACAAACAAACAAACGTACAAACATTTTCCTCTTTTATAGATATAGATATAGTTTTGACCCCATATAAATTTACCTTCAGATATTCGGTGTTTTGATGATTTGTGTCATAATTTTTACCGGGTTTGTTTAAAATTTGAATGTAGAATTAAGAAGGTAAAGTCATGGAATGATATGTTTACAATTGTTTTTATTTTCAAAATTATTCATTTGAAAACATCTCATTGTCAAAATGTATATTTATAAATCCATTGTACATACGCAAACCAGAGATGCTTGCTTTGAACCTGCTTTCCATGCAGTAAAATTTGACAAGCTAAATTACAAATAAAAATGCAAATATGGAAATACTTATTTGGAATGACTTTACCTTCTAAATTTAACCGTGCCTACTGTGATAGTAAATTGCCTATACAGGTCCACATTTTCGTATATCTCACATATAATTGTACCTCCCTATATTTTGATGATTTTTGTCATACCTTTCACAAGAATTATTTCAAATTCTGAATTTGGTGTTTGCAGTGGACACTGTTTCCTATGACAGAAAATTGCCCACAAAAATTCGCGTCCTCGCGCAGCTAACATGTAACGGTACACACCAATATTCGGTACATTTTAGCCATGGTACAATAAAAATGTAAGGTAGAGCTACCAGCTGATTACAATTTGTTCTAAATGTATCCGACTTCTGCTAATTTTGTGTATGTATTCTTTGTTTTAATAAATGTAAAAAAATTTCAAAATCAATGAAATTGAAAACGCATAAATTGCGAGACGCGCATTAAATCTATTAGCCAGTTTTGCATTGGAATTGAAAAATAGAACTGTTTAGATTATATTTTTGAAAAAAAAAACATCCAGGTATTTCATTTATTTTTCCGCTGTTCAACTGATTTTGAAAATAAGTAACTTTATCGAATAAATGAAAACAACTTGTTGCATGCAAATTTGGCATGAAGCGGGCATAGCCTTAGGGCTGTATTTCTGTAGCTTTACGAAGCTGTTCTACCTTCTTATTGTACCATGATTTTAGCTACAGAATTATATTAAACTAGGTGTTTGAAGTTTTTAATAGGCACTCCTTTTCTGGCAGATAATTGGCTGTAAATATCCACGTTTTAGTATGGCCCCGTTTAATCATAACGCCTGATATTCGGCATTTTTAAAATTAAATAGGCATTTTTCAGCAGTGTTTTTTACATATTGCAAGTTCCTTCCAAATGACAAAGTTCGGCCCGGCCGAACTTAGCTACTTTTTTATATGTTACTATTGAAAAAGCACAAACTTCCCTCTAAACGCGAATAGACTTCGCTTACAATCAATTGAGTATCTTCCTGTGCCTCAGGCAAAATTTTAAAGTTCTAGCTCTTACTGATCGGTCAATGACAGTATTTACTTTATAGAACTTTTCGCAACAATTGCATTCCGTAATTTTCAGTGTTCTATACATTAAGCAAAAGTGTCCAAAATCAAAGTATGACAAGAATTCAAAATTTCGCACCAAACATGACGTAAGGTGGAGTTCTGTTGGAGCCACCAATCTGAAATTTAGAAGAAATCGGACTTAAAAATTCGTTCTTTTTGGGCACAAATAAATTTTAATGGGGTTAAGGTGTAAAGCTAGAATCTAAACAAGTAACAAGTAAAAGCAGCTAAGTTCGGCCGGGCAGAACTTTTAAAACCCTCCACCATTTGGAAGAAACTTGAAAATTTTCAAAAAATCCGAAAAGTATCACTTAATTTATATGGGGACAATACGAAGACGTGGACCTGCTTACGATTTTTTTTATCATACGCTGTAGTACCAATTGCGAACTTCAAATACGAAATTTTAAACAGCTCCATTGAATAATGTCGCTAAAATCATTAAAATATTGAATACGGGAAGTACCGTTATATGGGGGATATACGAAAACGTGAACCTGCATACGAATTTTTTTGTCATAGGCTGTAGTACCCGTGACGATCTTTAAATACGAAATTTGTTACAATTCCGGTGAATAATGTCGCAAAAATCATGAAAATACTGAGTATCGGAAGGTACCGTCATATGGGGGCTATACGAAGACGTGGACCTGCATGCGAATTTTTTCCCAATACGAAATTTGAAACGATTCTGGAGAATAATGTTGCTGAAATCATGAAAATACCGAATGTCGGGAGTACGAAGACGTGGACCTGCATACAAAAATGTTTGTCATAGGCTGTAGTATCCATTACGATCCATTAACTTCAAATACGAAATTTGAAGTAGTTCTGGTAAATACTCTCGATAAAAACGTGAAAAATCATGAAAATTCCGAATATTGGGAGGTACCGTTATATGGGGCTATACAAAAACGTGGATCGACATGGCTCATTTACGAACTTAACCTGCCTACTTCTATCTCAATTTGTTCGAAAGCTAGCGTGATTACAAAAGACAGACAGACGGACATCGCCTCCTGGAGGGTATAAAACGTGTTGTAAAAAAATTAAACTATAAGTTCGCTAAAAGTACTAAATGGTGTTAAAGCAGAATCTTGAACATGGAAGTCACTTTTGGAATGTAGAGCTTGGATAAGAATGTGTTCTTAAAATTTGAAGAATCGCTATTTAAATACTATACCATTGATATTGGGTGAACTGAGCTAGAATTATGAAATTAATTAGTGTATAGGAATTGAAAAAGGAGTTATTTGAATTTAAAGAATTAACTGAGTTAAGAAGCGTTTCAAAAATATATCTGTTACAGGCATTAATAAAATGTATGACATTTTTGCAAATTGGAGTTTTTTTTACATTTTATAATGAACTACAAGTTATATTTTCGGAATAAAGTAATAAGTTATGAGTACGTTTTTGTAATTATGTATGTTTAATTGACTTCAACTACTTACCAAAAATTCCAACATATGCAAATCGCTGATATCCGGATTGAGTTCTTCGAATTGATTGTGCGACAAATTCAGGTAACGTAAGTCAGGTAGAGTGAAAAATTCACGCGGTAGCTCCTTCAGGCGATTTCGACTCAGGTTGATGCGTAACAATTTCTCTAATTTTCCAATTTCTTTGGGTATGGAGGTTAAGGCGTTGTCGTGAAGCTGAAAGAATTAAAGGGAGTAAAATGAAATAGGCAAATTATTATTTTACAGATTTGGAGTTAAAGAGTGTAGCTGCGGAGAGTTTTAAGTTTTTTTTTTATACCCTGAGCCATTTAGCTACAGAGGGTATATATCATATAATACGGACAAAATGTGTTTCATCGAAATAACCGTTTTTTGACACTAGGTCTCTTTGGACCAAATTCGTTCAAGACATTTGGAGTCGGTGTTGTCCGCCTGTCTGTCTGTCTGGCTGGTGCTCACGATAACCTTCGAAGGGAGTATCTAATTACATCCAATATCGTGATATTATAATCAAACATAGATCGAATTCGGAGATGGGCAATATCGGTCCACTCCTTCTGGTCAAACTCAAAATAATTCACCTTATAGAACCAGAAAGAATCATTAATTTTTATGCAAATCGTAATATTTTTATCAATGCTAGGTTGGGTGAGTAAATGGACAATATCGGCCCACTCCGTCAAGTACCTCAGCACAAAGGGTTGAAATGTTGAATAATTGTAATTCTCATAAAATGTCCGATTGTCTTCAAATTTAACATATCTCAGACTTTCTTACTACAGAAGATCTGGTATGAAAGACGGATATAACGGGCCACTCCTTCTCATACCTCCCCCATAACGGGTCAACATTTAAAAAAGTTATGAAGTTCATAAAACGCTAAATGCAAATCCTGAAATTTTTATCAATGCTAGGTTAGGTGCGCCAATGGACAATATCGGCCCACTCCGTCAAGTACCTCAGCACAAAGGGTCGAAATGTTGAATAATTGTAATTCTCATAAAATGTCCGGTTGTCTTCAAATTTAACACATCTCAGAATTTCTTCTTACAGAAGATCTGATATGAAGACGGATATATATAGTAACTCGTGCATTCCATTTTATCCCATTTCTTCGGAACCTCTATCATAAAGGATCAACGGTTTAAACAATTAGAATGCAAAGCTGAGGGCATACATCTGTAGGAAAACCCGACTGGTACTTTTTGACTTGTTAATTTTTTACCTTGGTTTGCTTTACTCACCGTCAATGTGGTTAACGAACATAAATTTTCAATTTTTGGCGAAAGCTGTATTAGTTGATTTGAACTTAAATCTAGATTATTCAAAGGTAATTGATTCCACCAGGCATCCTCCTCCTTGGCCACCAGCGACTCCAAGGTGACCTCAGCATTTTTGTCGCTAGCATTGATGTCATAGACTATATCAGGTACTGGAAAAAAAGAAGAAAATTAATAAGAATAGCAATTAAACTGGAGTAAAAATCGAAACAGAAAAGGATGCAAAAAATGCTACACTACAATCATCTGCAATTGTTGTCAGCGATGGTAATTCAATTTCATCTTTGCTATCTGTGTCCTCGCTCTCCATTTCACTGGTCGAATGGTTGGGACCCAGCAAATGTAGCGGACGTATATGGTAATAACGTCGCCTGGGATAAGGACGACGACACATGCAAAAGGATGTCAACTCCTTGGGTTTTTTCTTTATTGTAGCTATTTTGCTTGATTTTCGGGGATGTTCCGATTAATAGAAAGAAGAAAATAACGCTGTTGTTCTTTTCACTTTAAAAGTTCTACGATTACTGTAAACGTTTGTCATGAGCGTATCATATTTTGTTTATGAATGAGAGATTTTCATTTTGTTAAAACATTTAACCAGGCATGAAATTTATTTCACCGTTTATGGTATTATTACCGACAATGCATTTGTCGGTCATTATGTTTTTTGTTGTCGTCGTTTTGTTGAGTCTTGTTAACAGCTTGACTGACTTAACTTAACCAACTGACTGAGTGCCTGGCCAGCTAGCCAGTTAGCTGTAAAATATGTTGTTTGTGGTGTCAAATGACTTTGCACCGCATTGAGGTTCACTGTCAAGTTGATTCACAAGCCCATATTTTTCCACCGTGAAAATATTGCTGTTGGTGCTTGTAGCTGCTCATATTTCCACTTCCACCAGTTTCACTCTATGCTTTGACGGTGCATTCAATGTTCAATTTTCACATCAATGTTAATTCACAGCTATGGAATCGCAATCGCATCGATTCGCTGTCAATTAACCGCAAACGTTTTGTTCAAAACATCTCAGCGTCATTTAAGGCAATTCTATTTTCCGACTGCGGCTTCCATTGGAAATTAATTATTCAATTCACGTATGCAATAAGAATATTCAAAGGCAAAGGAGCCTAGATCGTTCCGTCAGTGGTTTGGAATTACACCCTTCAGAAAAACGTTTAGATTTGATTGTTAATTAGACTACTAGACCAATGTTGCAAAGGCTAGACATTCTCAGATAGAATTTTTGGAACCTTTCGTATATAAAATGATCGGTTGTTTCACATAAAGCCTTTTTATACACTCTTCCATAAGTTGGAGGCTATCTGTCATTTTATTTGGGATTCAAAACCATATCGCCCCAAGTTTAGGTATAGCCCTGAAATTTAGGTATGGAAATATCGGGATATACGATCATTTTACAAGCGTCGAGATTATTGACCTTTTGTGAGGGATGTACCAGAAGGAGTGGACTGATATATTCTGATTAGATATTGTGTTTTAATAAAAATATTGGAATGTGTGAAATTTGAAGATAATTGAATGCCTATTTCGCATTTTGGGAGATATATAAATATTCAAAATCTTGAACCTTTGTGGGGAGGTACAAGAATAAAAAGATTGACATATCCCATCTTCTTACCAGACCTATTGTTGTTAAAAAATTGGTATATGCGAAAGTATATCGAAAACAATTTGGCTCTTATTTCTATTATTTGGCGATTGCACCAAATCGGATATTCACTTCGAGAGTTATCGTGCGCAGCAGCCAGACAGACGGACGAATATCCCTAGATCGAATCCTAATGTACTGAAACGGGTTCGGTTTAAAGAGACCTAGGATCTAAAACCGTTATTTCGTTTGGCCGTTTCAAATGATACCCATATGTCTGAGAGCATAAAACATGTAACCCTAGTATAATTCATAACTAACAGCCCATGCTTTTATACCCTTCACCATGCTATGGAAGGTAATTAATTTTGTCATTTCCCTTGTAACTCCTTGAAATATTCATGTTAGACCCAGGAAAGTATATATATTCTTGATCAGCGTGAAATTCTAAGTCGATTTAGCTTGTTGTAATCACGCGATTTTTCGAACGAATTGAGATAGAAGGATAACATTTGGATATATATGCGTACTTTGTCAGTGGCAGGTTAAGTTTGTAAATGGGCAATGTCGGTAAAGGTTTTCGTATTCCATATAAATGCACCTTCCGACATTTGGTATTTTGGCGATTCAGAACACATTTTCTAACAGTAGTGTTTATAATTCAAGACTTAGAGTTTTGTAACGGGTTCTACCCCCTGTGGTAGAACATTGTCTATATAGGTCCTCGTTTTCTTATAACCTCACTATAACCGTTCATCCAGATATTCGGTATTTGGATGATTTAAGCCACATATCCAAACGGAATCGTTTGAATTTCGATACTTAGAGTTTGTAACAGGTTCCATCTCCTATGATGGAATTTTTTTAAAGAGGTCCACATTTTCTTATAAACCTCATACAATGTTACCTCCCAGTATTCTATATTTTTAATGTTTTTTTTTTTTTTTTTTAAATATGGTTCTTATATTTCATGAAATAAATGTATTTTTGAGCTTTTTTCCTTCCCTTTTCAACCAAATAAACTGACCACTCGTATGCTCTCTGGTTATATTTACGTCTCATAAAAAATACTCAATGTAGATCTACTTGTTGGTATAGTGCGCATATAGCTTTTCCTCCCTATTTTAAATATATGGTTTCGGTTTAAATTTCCGTATTATAGTCGGTCTAAATGAATTTCTAGCCAAATCAGATGCAACTTGACACTTTGTGTTCTCAGTAGTCGAGCCCAGATTTTTCCATTTTTACTTGGGAGCGAAACTTGTTCGCGAGCAGGATGGCTCGAAGAGCGGAAGTTTTTTTACGAAATCTACTCTTTTTGGTTTTGTTTTTGTCACCTATGTTTGAAAAATTGGAGTGGGAGGAGAATTGCTCAAAATAGAGCAGGAGATTTCTCTAAGACTGAAAATTAGTGTAAGGAAAGGGAAGGGAAGAAAAAACACATACATAGAAATATAACCACAAAAAACTAAAAGAGTGCTCGGCAACGATGATGCTACTCGATTTCGAACGAATTTTGCTCCCACTCAAAAACGAGGAAAATAGGCTTACTCATATTTGAGCAACATCGAAAAATTGAGTTCGCTCGATTTTTTTCAGCTCTCCGGAGCGCACTCGCTCGAAATTGAATGAGTTTCACTCTTTGTATAAATTTGAGGGAGTTTTTCGGGGACTTACTTAGTAGTTTAATTCCTGAAAAAAAATTAATGAAATTTGACTTTTCACATTTTAACGCAAAAATATTGAACTTAAATCCACCTTTTGAGTAGCTCCCCCCTCCTCCTAACAACGATTTTCATTTTGATTTTTAAGGCTTTGGCCTCTATTTTTTATCTTTTATATATGTATTAATTACCTTAACAAATCATGTACTATATATAGCAGCCATATAACGAAACTTCCAAATTTTGAGATTGCCGGTTTGGCCATGAGACAAATTTTCACATGATGGAGGGTATTGAATTGAACTTGATGTCAGGCAAAAGTAACCCAGATATAGGGTATTAAAACTGTATTAGCTGATACCTTAAGTAATGATCTATAATTTATTTCCTTCTCTAACTTAGCAAGACTGTTAAATATTTCGATTCTGAGGCTAGTATACTCCTTCACGCAGAATACTTTTAACATACATAGCAAAAGAAGCCTTTATTTCTCGATGTGTGTTATTAATTTAACATTATTTCGTCTATGAATTATTTAAAATAAAATGAAGAATAGCAAACTTCACTTTCATATCATCAATCGTTCAACACGGTTTGTAAATAAATACGAAACCAGCAAACAATAATTCATTTACAGTAATACCCGCATATTTACCTCACCATAATCACACATAGGGCAGGGGCAGGCATCAACAGCAATGCCTATCGACAGAGCAACAGGCAGACAGACAACCACCTAACTTCTGTCTTGCGTCTATGGTCTGACTTTTGTAATTGAAAAAATTGAAAAGCGATCTTAATGAACCCTCCATAAGCGAAAAGCAACAACTCGACCACCATATATACATATATATGTGTGTGTATGTATTTTGGTATGTTATTTGTAGGCAATCTGAATCTATTCGCTTAAAAAAATTAAGTTATGAACACTTTATTGAAGCCATTGCTGCTATATCGACCACAATCATGAGTAAACAATTAGAGGCAGAGATAATGGAATTTTGCCCTCAAGGCTTATTTATCTTCATTATTTCTTCTTTGGTCTCGTTGTGTATGTTTTTCACCAACCTGTCTTTTGTTGAGTTTTTTCTTCACTTTTTTAAAAGATTTCGGCACCAAAGTATTTAAAAGGGGTAATTTGATTCTTTTTAATAACAGAAAGTTTTACACAAAAAAAAAAAAAAATAATTTTTTGAATCTTTAGAAAATACATTAAACCTTAAGCCACCAGAGGGTGTCCTCAAAATATTATTATACCGTGGACTAAGCAGATTGGTTAAAATCCAGTCGCTCATTTAATTGCTTTGTCCGGATTTTTTATGACATTATTGATGTCTCTCGAGGGCAGCTGAATGCTTTCGTATGCATCCACACTTATATATATTATACTCTGATATAAATATTACAGCGTATAAGATATGTAATAGTTTTTCGAAAATGTTGAAATATGAGTGTTATACCAGATGTAGCGGATCGAAGTGTTCCACTTCATCTAATACTGAAAAGAATATTGCGATATCTAAAATTTAAAGAAAATCAGAGATCTATTACAAATTTTATAAAATGTTTGTTAATCAAAAAGTTAACCTTTTGTGGGGGAGGTTCGAGAAGAAACCGGTAAATTCCATAATCACAACAGATCTCTGGTTGAGAGAAATAATTAGATATGCCATGATTGAAAGGAATCGCTGACCTGTTTCGGGAGGTACCAGAAGGGCTAGACCGATAGCTACAATCTTCTCACCAGATCTTGTATAAAAATATTACGATGCGTGAAATTTAAATAGAATCTGAAACTTATTTCACATTTTATAAGCATTTTGGTTATTCAAAAATTGTATCACTTTTGTGGGGAGGTGCCAGAAGAAATTATCCGATTTA